ACTTCTTCTTCACCCTCTAACCACTTCCCCATCGTTACTCTATACTCTATTGTCAATCCATGACAAATGTTCAGATAAGGTTCCTTCTTCAGTTCCGTCAGTTCAGACCTTTACATCTAGAACACGCCGTGCCACTCCCACATAATTGAATTACTCTCATTTCCTCTGTATTTCCAAATTTAAAGAGAAAGTTCTACTAGACAGCTTTTTACCAAGAACTAATACTTTGAGAAAAAAAAAAACTCCCGTGTGGGTACTCCCAAGATCACTACATCAAGGGTCAATCGTTATCGGTCCTCCTTATCATCATAATCGACACTTCCTACCACGTCCTCTTTCATTTATATTTATACCACAAACCTCATTCATCCTTATCATTTTAACTGTAACATGCCATTTTGAGTGGCTCGCCTTATATTGGGGGAATTTTAGGATAAAATTAATTTGGTAAAGGTTCGTAGGTTATATATCTTGTTATAGAATTCTACACGGGTATGTTTTTGTCCAAGGGAGATAAAAAGTTGTCATCCTTAAACTGGCGATGCTGGGTGGCAGTGTCAACGGCAGACTGTTCAGATCATCTCTGAATCTTAATAAAGACGAAAAGTGGCCGGAAGATATTTTTATGTATATTTTAGTGTAAGAAAGATAAAAAAAAAATGTCGTCTTTGGACTGGCGACGCTGGGTGGCAGTGTTAATGACAGACTGTTCGAATCATCTCTAAATTCTAAAAAAGACAAAAAGCGACAAAAAGTACCCGGAAGATTTTTTTTTATGTATATTTTAGTGTAATGGAAATAAAATGTTGTCGTCCTTGTACTGGCGACGCTGGGTGGCAGTATCAATGAAAGAATGTTCGGATTATGTCTGAATTCTAGAATAGACAAAAAGCCGCCAAAAAATAATCGGAAGATGCTGGTGCCACGACGCTGGAATAGGTTAATTGTAATAATTCGAAAAAATATATTTAAAGAATGAAATGTTAAAATATAGTAACGAAAAAAATATTCTATTATTTTTTACGGCCTGAACATAAAGTGGAGGATCAGATTTCCATTGTTATTAATATAATACGCCACACACACACACACACACACACACACACACACACACACACATATGCGTGTGTCTGTGCGTGTGTTTTTGTGTGTGTGTGACAAGGGGCAATGGGCAAAATAACGACGACCCACCCGGTGCTGTGCTAACTTGGTCCCTTAGATGCGTACTGACATCGCTATCGAAGACGGTTCATGTATATATATATATATATATATATATATATATATATATATATATATATATATATATATATATATACGCCACATATATCTTCAAGAATGCTTTGTTTATTTTAGAAAACCATTTTAAACTTTAACAATTATAATTTTAAAAAAGTGGTTGGGGAAACAATTCTTGTAATAATTCATTAGCCAACGAAAGAGTTTTTTTTTATTATTATTCACACTAGATCCTTCATTTTTAATATTTATGATAGCAATTAAAAGCTCATAAAATTAAATAATTAGATAGTTTTAGTGCAGTTTTTATGTTACGATTCGGTGCATGTCTTGTGCAATTTGTTAATAGCTTGAGAAAAAATAAATTAATTAAAATAGTATCTGATGATACGTTGCTCTTGGAAAATAAGAAATAAGCAGACTCTGAAATTAGATTGAATCAAGCATTATTCAGACCTTCAAAGTTTACACAAAAATTATTATGCTTTGGGAGCTTTTCCAGTAAACATAACTTTGGTTGTAAATATGTAACATTTATGAGGATAATATACGAAAATCTTTCCTTAGATGTTTATAAATTGTACATTGTTCAATTTTTAAGGCGAGTAACTATTTTAAATTGCAAAACTGCACTTGGATTAAATGAAAATTATTTACAAACTTTTATAATAAATAATAGTTGACCATTCGTATTTGAAGATTCTCATCCATTGAGAATCCCTATTGCAGACATTTGCTCAGGCACATTTGTGTTTACTCAACACCTACAGAGCCAACTTGTGGTTAATAGTGCAATTATGCTGAGCAGACCTTAGTTACAGTTTCTGGGAGAGAGCGTGTTATCTAGCGTGATCACTAATCTTAACAAGGCCAGCACACTCAAACCCTCGGTCACAATGACTTGTGATTTCGTGCTAGGACAGCTATCGACAGCCCCCAACTGTTGAGACTTGGATCAACACTTGGTATGGTTTTCAGGCACTTTCCAAAGGTGCTGCATGCTGAGATCGCCCCCTCCAGGCCAATAACATCAGGAAGTCTATTTCCTGACAAATCAACCATGGTGAGATTCGAACATGGATCTCTTGGTCAGAAACCGAAGGTTCTAACCACTCGGCCACGCACCCATACACATTATCTATAATAAATTCCTTCTTGCCGTCAATTTTGATGGTACGGATACACTAGTTAATTAATAAAATGATCGCCCAGAATTACTACATAGTATATTTTGAAAAAATATATTTAAAGGCTCATAATTAAAATTAAAGACTTAATGAAATATTCTGTCATTTTTGACAGCATGGAAAAGTAGTAGTAGTAATATAAGTCTCTGTCGGACATAAAGTGTGATTTAGGTTTTTATTGATATCAACTAACAAAATGATCCCCCAGAATAACTAAATATATTTGGAAATATAAATATTTTAAGACATTTTATGTTTATACATTCTTTTTATAGATACAAATATTTAAGTAAAGGCTCTGTTTATAATAAACAGTAATAAACAACATTTACCGGCTTGAATGTCCGAGAAATTTTCATAGAAAATATTTGTCCTCCGACAGGATTCAAACCTGTATTCTATACGGAACCGTCATATAGCCTGACGTGCCTTTTAACCGATTCGGTTAGCAAAGTCGAATTTACTGCTTTTAAACTTCAATCATCCATGAATTTCTCACGTACATTCATATGTGCTCATGGCGTATCAAACGTAACGGTCCTCTGTGGCCGAATCGGTTAAAAGGCACGTCGGGCTATAGGATACAGGTTCGAATCATGTCGGTGACGAATATTTTCTATGAAAATTTCTCGGACATTCAGGCCGGTAAATGTTTTTTTTGTCTGTATATTTACGTTTTTAGCATGTTTTAAACATTTAGCTGCAATTGCAATACGTTTATCGACAAAAAATCCGACAGCTTATCTCTTCTGGTCCGGTGAGCCACTGTTTGCTTCTGTTGCTATAATGCAACAAAGCGTAGACAGGAAACTCTTTCACATCAACTCTGCTCCATTTACCAATATAATTTTAACATAAAAAACGCTAGTTCGAGCAAATATCTGAAAAAAGTGTACTGAAGAAGAAAATGTTAAGAACCACTGATGTATATTCATCTAAAATGTGGTACCCTAAGAAAACCCTGTGAAACCTGATTGGGACAAATTACAATATTTCACCTAATCTGTTTATCATTTCACCTATATATTTGCATTTTTAGATATGCATTAAACATTTAGATGCAATTCCAATATGCACAAGGAATAAAATCCTGCAAGCTTGTAATTTCTATGATCTAATTACTCTCTATGATTTATGATCTCTTATGATCTGACCTGGTGATTGGCGCTTGACTGTTTCCGCCAAATTTTAACTTCCGGTGATTAGCACTGCTGTAAGAACGTAAACACGTGACACTATCTTTCTTGCATTAATTTTGCATTGTTAATCAGGTGCTGTTTATCTGTGTACGCTGTAGTAATGGATTGTGGGTCGGTTTGAGTAACCGGAGAGCAGAGATCGATTTCCAGTCGAGTTCATTACATTTGCTTACGTTTCAGATACCCTTAGGAAAGGTATGAATCCATCTCCCCTCCCCCACACCTAGCTATGGACATAGCAGGAGAGATTGGGTTCTATAACCTTGGGTGGCAACCGTTCTAGAAGTTCTGAATTCAAGGCCAACAGCTATCCTGCAATTGGTCAAGCATTGTCAGGATGGCTACACCCCTGAAGACGTAGTCAATCAAGGAGAGGTGACTATAAGGAAATGACAATATTTCTGAATCAATTCTAATGAGCTTTGATCTTTGTTACCTCTTTATTGGCAGATAATGTAATGACCTTTCTGTTAAAAGTTGGCTACATCTCATTTAAATCTTTGTAACTTTTCACCATCGGGATATTTAATATTAAAGGAATTGTAAAATAAAAAAATATGAATTATTGGCTTACGACATTGATAATTATAACATTGAATTATGTTGTCTCCAAAAAACAAAATCAACGAAAGACTTTGTATTAACATAGCGGTTAGACAGCCCAAGTTAATAGCTTTGCAAATAGACAATATTACGGAAATGGCTTTGTCATCAGTACCAAATGGAATAATAACATCCACAGACATTGCACGAACAAGCAGAATATACACACAGAGCAACGGCATTAGAAAAAATATCTATAAAATTTTATCATTCCACGTAAAATCTTTGGAAGTGATTGTAATACCTGCAGTGATTTTGTGAGTTAGAATAGACAGGGAGGTTTAGAGAGTATTGATGAGAGATATTTACAAAGTTGCTGAAGATGAAAAATCAGCATGTACCTTCAAGTCGAAACTGCTCTGATGAGGAGATGAATTATCAGTTCAGTTTTAACATAGAATTGTGTCATCACAAGAAAATATATGGTTGCTGGATAAGAAAATGGTAAGAACGACAGACGTAAATCATAGTAGCATATGATATTTTCTTTTACTTCGAAAACATTTTTTCTTTTTTCATTTTAGTACTTTGCTGCCTCTCTTTGGCATCTTCCAGTTGTCAGCTTTGGGAAAAACGTCAAACTTATAAAAAGTGTATGTCTGCAGACGACCTCTAAAAAACAATGACTTTGTAAATAACATCAATTTGTACTCCTTTTCAGACAGATAAATTTTCTTCTTAGAATAGTGAAAAAAATGGTTTCGTACACAAAACGTTAAAATTTCTTTGAAACGGTTTTCCTTATTTTAATTTATTTTATTTTATTTTTTAGATACCTATGTCCATTTATCTTCGAATGACGACGCCAAGAATTCCAGGTATGTTGTTTGTTTATTTGTTTGTTTGTTTTTTTTCTACTATAAGGAAGAAAAATCTGTTCGCAACATAATTTTCTTGATCCCCTAAATCATGACGCGCCAAAGAAAACATATAATAAGGAATTAATATATATATATATATGTGTGTGTGTGTGTGTGTGCGCGCGCGCGTGTGTGCGTGTGTATGCGTGTGTGTGTGCAGGTATGTAGAAAAATAGGAAAGAACACGTTAGGTAAATAATCCAGAATCCTTTAGTATTTTTGTTTTTATTTTTAAAAAACAGTGCTCCATACAGAAGTAGAGCTTAGATTATAATTATTTTAAAAAAATATGATTCCTTTCCTACATAAGAGTTCTCTTGTTTCAAAAACGAGAGCCGAACCCATCAATATAATTATTAAAATTAAATTGACTTAAAGTAACAAGCCCCAATTTTCGCTTGAGGATGAAACAGGGCTTGTTACTTTAAGTCAATTTAATTTTAATAATTATTTGATGGTTTCGGTTCTCGTTTTTGAAACATGAGAACTCTTATGTAGCGAAGGAATCATATTTTTAAAAAAATAATTATAATTATATATATATATATATATATATATATATATATATATATATATATATTATTATTATTATTATTACATATACCAAAAAGAAAATAGTTTCCATGTCTGATGATGACCGGAGAACCTGTCGAAAGTACTTGCATATTTAAGGAAGGCCTAATACAGTTTATAATTTTAAAAAACAAGGATCATAACATTCATCAAGTGCTTAGTGGGTTAATGCATCTTTAAAATTTAGTTAGCGAAGTGATTTCACCATTTTATATCATTAACTTTACTATTTTACTTATATATTTTAACTTTTTGTGTACGAAACCATTTTTTTTTTTACTATTCTATAGTTAAATTCCCAAATCAATTCTGTGGACAAGACAAATTGGTATCAGATGACAATTGGAAGGCCAGACCAGGCGGAACCAAAGAGTGTAGTTCGTCTGAGCACTTTCCGTGAAAGTAGCCATAGGGCAGCGATAGGCTTGCCACATCCCTCCTATGAGAGAAAGAAATGGAAGGTGCTAATATATTCCGTTTGAGTAAACTAGGATTATACAGCTTTGCAATGAATAGAATTTTGTATATAGAATTTATTTGTTTATTTGTAACTCTCCCCAGTTATGAAACTCCTGTTGGGACACAAAAAAGTAAACAAAATGTGCACAAATATAAGTTATTAAGTGCTCCGTAACAACAACACACAAAGCAGAAAAATCAAGTTAGGCAAGCCTCAGTCACGGGCCGGTGAACTAAATAGACAACTCTTTCGAGAAATATCGGCTCAAAATGGTGAAACCTTTTAGCATCCAACCTTTATTCTCTGCTTATCATTCCAAGTGTGTGTTAACTTACTTGGCAACATGGACAACTTAGTTTATAATAGTTTCTGCTAAGATTATGACTAATGATCTTATATCTTTATGTAAATGCTGTATTGCAAACTTGACATTGAATCTTCTTGCCTTTAGACATCTATTTCGGCGTTAGACTCTAGTGGTTAAGAATTAAAGAGTACAATATTTTTTCTCGCACCAGTCCTCAGTACACTCGTATGTAAACAAAGACTTTCTTATTATTTCCTGCTGAAATGAATAGTTGTTGTGATTTAAGTTTTTACACATGCATTCTATGTGTTATCGGTTAACAGTGCTTAATGCATATATATATATATATATATATATATATATATATATATATATAATTATTTATTTAAAAATATGATTCCAACACGCTACATAAGAGGTCTCATGTTTCAAAACAAGAGCCGAAAACTTCAATATAATTATTTGAATTAAATTGAATTAAAGTACTAAGCTCTGTTCCATCTTCAAGCGAATTTTTTTTGAATAACTTATTTCTGAAATTTACGTGTTTTAATAGCATATTCATTATTGAAATCAAAATTTCCATGGTAACAGCCAGAGAGATTGTTTAAATAGGAAGGGGTTCTGGGTGTTAATAATTTATATCAGTATAGAGTTACATTCATAGATGTCAAGTCAGGGTAAGGTAGGGGTGTCTAAATTTAAAACGGAAGATGTTTTCGCCTAGTCTGGTTTACGTGTCTATGGAGATTTATTTATTTTTTTATTTTATTTCTTTCTGAAAGGGTTTTGTGTATATAAAAAAACTGCCGTAACATTTGTTTTTTGACGACTTCATAAAGGGTTATCTTTTTGTAGGGTATTTAAACTATTTATTAGGGCTATGGACTATAAAAATTATTTTATTGTATGTTTGTTTCTATGCTAATTATTCAATGCAAAAATTTGATGATGTCGGCAAAAAACCGTTAATATTGTTTAATAGATTTTTATTATTTAGAAACTTAATAATGCGCAGTTTCTCATGCAGGCACAAAGAGCATGGGTCATCCCAAATTTTACAAGTTCTAGTCCTGTTTATAATTTTCCATTTTACTTTAGGTGTCCTATTTATTTCCTTCAAATGCCAAATATATAGATCCATTTGGTGGGTATCCATTTGGTGGGTGGTTTTCTCGCCAAGGTGAAAGCTATAGTTTATCCTGTAGATTTTTCAAGCATGGAAGTCGGTTTTATTTGGAATCCCTAGAAAATAAAAAAAAATCTATTCTTACCAAATATGAATTTTGGACTTTCGCATATTTTGACAACTGCTTATGTTATCATTTAACATGACCTTTACTTTTTTGCTTTTTTTTTCAGCCTCAAATTCAATGGAAGTCTTCTTGATTGGAAACGTAGCAATGGTAAACAAGGAACAGGTTGAAGCTGATCTGATGAAACTGTTAGCTCATCAACTAGCAATGAAAGAAACAGACCTCAAAATAGATATTGAATTAACAGACATACCTAACGACCAGTAAGTCTCCAAAATAGTCGGCCTCTTTTCGGGTATCTTTCTTCCCGTGTAGCCTCTTCTATGTTGTCATGTGCGGGTAAGAGTAACGGTTTTCAGCGTTAACATTGGACTCGACGAGTCGAATTCGAATTCCAGCCTCTTTCACTTCTGCACAAATGACCTTAGAAAAGGCATGAATCGATCTTTATCTAATCCTCAATTATAGCTAAACTTGAGTGTTAGCTATTCTAGAAAATTCAGAACAGTGAAAATGGCAAGGGAAAAGCACTCCACTTTTTTTCACAAGTATAAGTAATTCACTGACAATAAAGAAAAAGAAGTCTGTGGAGAGCCACGATCCCCTACGTCCTAAAGAGGATTGACAATAAAAATATGTATATAACGGTTATTATTGAATAATATTTATTAACATAAAAGCTGTATATAAAGGTTTCGTACAAATGACTTTAGAACTATCTAAGCCTCAACTATAGGTTAGCAAGATAGACTGGTGTCTTTAAGTTTGGATGTTAGTCTAGAAAAAAGACTAATCTGAATTCTAAATTCAAAACCGTGGAAATAGCAACGGGAAACCACTCCACAATTTTTCTCAAGAAGTCATAGCAATTCATTGACAATAAAAGAAAAAGAAGTCTGTGAAAAGCCACGACTCCATACGTTCGAAAGGGGATTAGCATTAAAAGTGTATAGGTATCATAAAGGTTATCAGCGCTGAAAGTGGCATAGGCAAGGCGAGTTAAAAGTTCCCCCTAGTCTCACACAAATGCTCCAACTCTTACCCTCCAGCTATGGGTTAAATAGCAGGGTAAGGACTGTGCTCTCTGAACTTGGTTGTTAGCTAGTCTAGGAGAACTGTTCAGTTTTCAAAACCGTAAAAAGAAAACACCATAGTAAACTATCCACTATCTTTCCGCAAAAAAAATGTCATAGAAATTTACAGATAATAGAGTTTGAGGAGAGCCATGATCATTTACGTCCAAATAGGACTCTGCATTAAAAAAATGTGAGGGTTGCGCAACTTTTATTATCGATCTTATGGAATCGGCATGTTCAGTTCGGATTCAGGCCTACTTTATTGCGTTCCTTGTCGCACAAGTTCACTTGGGAAAAGCGTGAATCTATCTCTTCTCTCCCTAGCTATGGGTTAAATAATAGGGTAGACAAGGCTTTCTAAACATAGGCGGTAGCTAGTCTAAGAAGAGAATCCTGAATTCAAAACCGTGAAAATGGCAACAAGCAATTACCCGACAATCTTTCTCAAGAAATCATAGCAATTCGATGATAATACAGAAAAAAGGATCTGTGTAGAGCCATCATCCTCTACATCCTAAAGGTTTTAACCTTCTTTTTTTTTAATATCCGGGTAGTGCTAATGATATCGGCATAGAAAGTAGAATTGGCGACCCGAGTTCAAATTCGGTACAAATTACTTCACTTGGAAAGGCATGAACTGATTTCTTTTCAAACCAGCTAAAATCGATACCTAAAGTTTAAAATTAAATTTTAAAAATGAAAAATCTTTCTTGATTTAAATTTTGTATTTCCAATAAGTAAAATATTTTGCTGCATTTCAAAACTAATTTAAATTGATTGGAATGATTATATTTTTTTTTAAACTCAATGAAAAATGCTAACATCGTCCATATTTACAAATCTGTAAACAGAGCGTAATTATCGTTATTAAAAGATCCTGGAAAAATGAAATATGAAACCTTATTTGAGGAAGATTAGCAGATTGAAAGTTTAATTAATCTGAATTACAGCAAATATTACTTTTAGTTTAAAATATCACAGAAAAGCATTTTAACACGTTGTGGGTGTTTTTATGAGGTGTTGACACATTTATTGATAACCTGGCGTTTTGGACATTTTTAAGGAAACGACATTTAAGGATGAACCCGAAATGCGATTTGCAGGTCGGGAACACTAGAATGAAGTAGACGCGGAAGTTTAAATATCTGGGAAGCGTTTTCACAGAGGACGGTAATTACGACACTGAGATCCATAGAAGTATTTAGATGGCCAAGAACGTATTCCAAAAGCTGGGCTGAGTATTACGAAACAGGAGGATTTCAAAGAAAATAATGCTGAGCTGTTACATGACATCTGTTTTTCTTTACGGCAGCGAATGTTGGACAATTTACTCAACGATGAAGAATAGACTCAAGGCGACGGAAATGTGGTTCTACAGAAGGATGCTAAGGATATCATGGGCCGAGCGTGTGAGCAACGATGTGGTCTTAGAGAGGATACAAACAAGGAGGAGGCTTATGCTTAACATTAGGAAGAGGCAGCTGAAGTTCCTGGGACACATAATGAGGAAGGAGGGCCTGGAGAATCTGATACTCACAGGTCGAATAGAGGGAAAGAGAGACAAGGGAAAACAACGCATGACATACCTAACAGGCTTAAGCAAGTGGATGAACGAACGTGGTCTATGGGAGGAAGCAGAAGGAAGGAATTTATTGAGAGCTGCAAGGGATAGAAAGAGGTGGAGAGCCATGATCGCCTACGCCCTGAAAGAACATGGCAGATAAAAAGAAAGAATTACTTGAATACAACGTGAACGCTTTTTTATATAATTTTTAAATACCCAATAATTTTTTTTAAATTATGAAAATATTCTAAGTAATCTGATATTTTAACGAATTTTAAATACATTGGCTTGTTGAAGAAATTCTAGAAAATTACTAATAAATTTTAAATTTACTAAAGTTACCATTCTTATTTTCTAATAATGTCGTGTATGGACGTCCGTATTTTTTTTTAAATGGCATGTTGATATACACACAAATGCACACAAATTCAAAATTGTTTTTAATACTGGGAGTCGCTAAATTGTAGTGAGCTTTTCCATTTATGATTATGAAATATAATTTTTACTTAATAACAATATCACCTAACCGCTACAAATTAATACAGAATTTTAAAAGATTTAAAACTTTATAAATAATTATAATTAAAATTTTCAAGTAAAAGAAAACAATTCTTGTAAAAATTCATTATTCATCGAAAAAAAAATTTTCTTAAGACAATGGTATCCATAATATATCTTATTCTTAAAAACAATTGAAAGATTTTCCAATTAAATAATATCTGATTTTTAATGCATTATTTATTTTATGATTCACAGAAGATTTTCTTTAACTGGATGCCCTGTTTGAAAAAAAAATGATGATTTAAATTCTCCAAGAACTTGTGCTTATAACTAACATAAACATTAAATGCTACAAAAATGAATTTCTTGAAATTTCATATTTTTACCAAGGTTTTATAAAATAGAAAGATTTCTTAAACAATTTCTTTCATTTGTGAATAATTCCTGAAAGTGCCATTAAAATCTGACAATTATCAGATTTTTTTCAAGAATTTCTAAATTCATTGTGTTTTTCACCGCAAAAAGATGCTAAAATATTCCATACTAATTTATGGTCGCCCGTTGATGATAAAAATTAACCAAAATTTCGAATGTTCTAAAAATGATAAAAATATAATTTAATAATCAAAAGAATTATTTTGTCTTTAATAAGTCAAAGACTTTAAAGATTAAGTTTGAGGCATTTTTCATCATTTATGCTCATTTTTTAGTGAACGTATTAAGGTAGTTAGTTAGATAGTACAGTAAACTGAATTCTGTAGCTTTGTATGGCAGTTAGTCTAGAAGGACAACGTTGAATTAAAAAATGATGAGAATCCAACAGACAACAATTCTAGTATCTTTTTAAAGAAAAAAAGGCAACAAAAAACATTACTAATAAAATGATGATTTAAATTCTCCAAGAACTTGTGCTTATAACTAACATAAACATTAAATGATAAACATTAAATGCTACAAAAATGAATTTCTTGAAATAGCCGAATTTATTTTGAATGTTGGTTTTTAAGAGCATAGTAGCATTCTCTCATTTGGTAGTTTAGCACTAGAAAAATTACTTCTTCGCTCCTATTTGGACTTGTAACTCGAAACTGAAATAATCCATTTTTAGTTGTTACACAAAAAGATCTAAATCAATGATGTCTAACCTATGACGCATGCGCTAAAATGGTGTATTGCGTAACGTGATGCGACGCATTACGGCCTAGTAATTATTAATGGCGATCATTACCTCAGGGTTTTCTAGAACAATGAAAATTTACTTAAAACTATAACTACCAGATGTGAACATGCAGCTATGAAATTGATTATAAACAAAACCATACTTTGGTCGATCAAATTGCCCATTATTATTCTTGATATACAGTGAGTCCCCCGTATTCGCGGGAGTTAGGGACCAGAACCGGCCGCGAATAAATAGAATCCACGAATACTTATAACCCACCCCGACCTAAAAGTGCTTATAAGGACCTATTTTGATTGTTAAAACCCCATATGCCTTAAAATTTCATCCGAAATACTTTAGAAACATTTCAGACCTTTTTGAAAACATTTTTGAAAAATAGTATTAGTGACCATACACTTTTTCTTCCGTACGTACAAAAACCGTTTTTAATTACGCATAGATCGATAAAACCACTGAAAATACTGCATAAAATATGTATAACAAGACATAAAATATAAAGTTTAAAACATTTTCTAAAAACAGAACTGTGATGATGCCCCAGACTTAGTATAAGCCACTTTTAAGACCCCAGCTGCAGCCTGTAACAAAGAACAAAGCACTACGCGTGTTTTTGCGTTTGTTTTTTACAATAGAGATGTACAATTCTGCCAATTTTACCATAAAAATGGATTGATATACGTTTTAAGTCACTTAAATTGCAGAAAAATAATACAAGAATTTTTTAAATATGTTCTATCGAAAAAAAAAATAGGCGAATCAAGAGAGTTCTCAGCGAAGAATTTGTACATATGTTCTTCAGAAAAACACGCGAATATTCGGGGTTTCCGCGAATAACAAGTACATATGTTCTAAAGAAAAAATCCGCGAATGTGTGAAGCCGCAAATGCTGAAACGCGTATAGGCGGGGGCTCACTGTATTGATTTGTATATCATTTCTTC